GTTTCCTCCTTCATTGCAAAAATATAAAAATGCGTTCTCTGCGTCTCCTTGCTTCATTTCGATGTCTCCTTCTTGCGACAATAACCGCTGCCATGTGTGCGCAATTACGCATACAGACCATTTGCACCTTCTTTTGAAACGTGTTAAATATAGAGTCAGATACCGTTAGCAAAATTGCTTTCGTGTTTGATAAATTACGATAAATTGCGAGTGCTAAATTAATATATTTACATGTTCTCCTCCCACAAGACGCACCTTTGCGTGTAAACGCCCCATATTGAATATTCATTGCAGAAGAAGTACTAAATGGATAAGAGGCGCTATTTAGCACGTTTTAAAGACCAAATCATTTTAGCACGCTGTTGATAGATCAGTTTGTAAATTTTTTAGCATGCGCAGTGAAATAGCTCACGTTTTTATACACGCAAACCTTTGATAGATCCGGCCCTTTGTCTTTAAAACAAATTTATTTTTAGGAAATTGAATTAATAAGTCTACATAATGATAAATGCATGTGTAATATTTGATAAAATTGGAAACACATTATTAGACTGCATAAACACATGATAAATGGTATAGAGGTGCCCTCCTCAAGCTAGTAACATTTCCTCAATAGGTTGACCTCCCAATTCAAAGTTGATTTCTGTGAAATCGTGAGTAAAAGCTCTGGGACCATGTCCCTGAAACCCCTCTGACTCTCTGGTTAAAACCCCTCACTGGTTAGATATCATACTGATACTATGAGCAGAGGTTTTGAGATGTATCAGCATATGCTTTCTTCTGTTAAGAACTTATGTTTTTCAAATGAAAACCTGTTTATTGGTTTGTTTGCTATATACATCATACATATTTGTGTGTGACATCGGGTGCAATTTTTTTTTCTTTGTGGAAAATGAAACTTTACTGTGTAAAATGTAAGAAATTATGACAAAGAATGTTATTTTTGTTTCTAATCTAGACATCAGGCGAGTCAGTGCGATGACAAACTGTCTGATTCACTGTACATTTTACTTATGAGTCACGAGTAAAAGTACAACACTGTTTCCATCAGATTGTTTTGATGGTTGAGTGCAGATCTTCAGCAGTCCCATTTTCATTTAGCATGAGAGATATGAGCAGGGTGGAAACTACACCATCCCACTATAAGAGCTGTTTGAGACAGTAAATTACACTTTCAGCAAGAGATTACATGTTTTTCAAGGTATTTTATTTTTTAAACATGATGATGAAATCAAATTAAGTCTCACACTTGTGTGTCATCTTTGACATTTGTTAATAGCACAAAGCAAAAGATTAAACTTTCCACATATTGCAAGCAGCCCCTACCTGATTCAGGAGTACTTTCATAACATATAAAGTACCGTTATACTCAATCTTTATTTTAAAAGGGCCTAATTCTTTAGGTTATTTAAAATTGTGACTTCAGTTTGATTTTTCACTGCCTTAATCTGATTTGTTTTGTAGCTTTAAGCAAGAAATCTTTCAACATCTAAGGCATTACAGAATGATTATGATTGTTTTTTTTTTATTCTTAATGTTTCTATTTATTGTGTTGTTAAGCTATTTTCTCCATCTGCTATCTGAAATGATTGCCCAAGACAGAACGGCAACATGTCGGGAACTCTTTCCATGCTTTTTACCAACACATTAAGTAATTACAGTGATACAAACTGGAAAAATGTATGATTTGTAATCATGCTGACAATTTTTATTGTTCAACAGAAATAAAATATATTTAAGACAAACCACATATGCTCCATTGGTTTCATTTAGCAGACTCTTTTTGACAGAGTCTTTTATATTTAAGGAGTTTTACGAAAATTCATTGAGAGTATAGAGGTTAAGTTAAGATGTGTTGAATGACCCAGGATGGTAGAGGTATTCTACATTTGTCAAAAAGCAATAGCAAAGAAACAGCCCATGTGTTTGTGAGTAACAGTAAAGGTCCTGTGACGTCACTCTTCCCTTTCAGGCATGTGCTACATTTTCTATACGCCTGGAGGAGGAACTGTAACAGAGAAAGAAATATGAAAAGCTCTTATTATTATGTTCAAGCACAGAGTGCCAGTGAAAGGTCAGTCTCAGCTGATGTTACTCACCTTCTGTCTTTGGAACCTGGGAAGCGGATGAGCTTGAGCTGTTTACAGGGGCAAAAGTGGAAATAAGCACACATTTTTTACACCATATGTAGTTTTTGGTTATTTAATTTACTAGCAATAAAATATACGTGTACAGTGTAAATGGCCACATCAAAATCTTGTTGAAGCCACAGGGTACTGTTTTGTGGGGCTTAAAATTAATATTTTCACACACAGTGCTTTAAGTGAAAAAACAAAACAAAACTAAATGTCCATAGGCAACAGAAACGTGGGTTATATTTTTAGAAAGATCTATCTATCTATCTATCTATCTATCTATCTATCTATTGCCCCTTGGGGACAAACAATTTAAATTAAATTCTATTGATTTATAGGTGTTATTGAAAAGAACAAAGGCAGTTCTAAACCAAATCTATATGAGCCAAATTTCAATATTAATGAAGCCACTTTCATTAACTTAAAGCCCAATGGTGTTAACATGGAAATAAAAAATAACCCAGAAAATCAAATAAAAGATCTTTAGAAACATAAGTAGTAATAAATCTGACTTCGGATTTTACTAAACTTATTAGTTTGCTTCTGTATTTCTATACGGTGTTAGGCCAAGCTTCAACAATGCCACTTTAGCCATATTTTTCCCCAGCAACAGCGCTCCATCTAGAAATGCATTGTTTCGCATGTAATTATCAACTACTGAAGAAAAAATACACTTATTTGATTAAATGAAAAACACAACTGATAACAAAAATCAACTAAGACATGATAAATAATCCCATGTTCAGACTTCAAACATAAAAGGCTGAAGATAAGGAGCAATATTATAGGGGAAATCATGGATCACATTATGCAACGCGCTCTAAGAATCAAACATCTTCAGGGGATGCCTGTGAATTTCAGAAAATATCAGACTTCTGTTATTGTGAGTGAATGCACCACATAAAAAGCAGGGTCCCCAGATGATGATTATCCATGCGGCTAATCTAGCACTACTTCTACTTCTGTATTAGACTCCACATTGTTGTATTTATTTGTTTCCGTGTTTAAATCCCTATTATACTGTCCTTGTTATTTTTTCCACAATGATAGGAAATAAAATATTAATCTTGTTAACTTTGTGTAGAAGTATATCCTTACCACTGCTGGTGCATAATTAGTTTATTTTGTTTTCAAGACTTTAATTGGCATTTTATTCATTTCAGCAGTTTTTAAAACATTAATATAAAAAAGCTATTTTGTAACTAAAAAGAAACAAACTGACAAGAACTGTGAAGGCTGCGTTTCAGCTCTGCTCTTTTGGGTCCTTTTAATGCCAGGTGAATGAAGCCATTTTTCTTGGCTTTACTCAGCAGCCACAGGAATGTAGGGCAAACATTTTGGGTCAAAGAAATTAGGTTCATTTGAGGTGCTTTAAAAAAAAACAACCAATAGCCTACGAGCTGTGAACTGACAGGTCAGGATGGGGGATGCGTGTGGGTGGATTGAAGTAGCAGTATGCACTGCATGCTGAAAAAAACAAACAAATTCAAAATGATGCTACTACATACCGTACCTAGTGGCCCACTTAAAGCACTGCACATTCCTCCGGTAATAACTTACATCATCAGTATGTGATTGAGTGTGTGAATGGTTGAAATGACTGGATGTGGTGTGGAGGGCTTTGGAAGGCTTGAGAAGGTGCTACATACGTATAGGCCATTCAAGGCTAATCTATGTCTGCGGGTATAAGAAATTCTGTTTTCTTTGAATGAAATCCCACGCCGCTGAGCAGACACATTTGATCCTAAAATCACTGGGATTTCTAACACTATTTATACAGATTTTGTTTCTTCACACTGTTTCTGTTTGAATCCTGACTTTCCAAAATATTACCTCGACTTTTTATTTAAATTTTTTTTTTATTTACCGGTACATCATAGACTCATGTCCATTTTCTCTTCCTCAATAGTTCACTCGTTTGATTAAGAACTTAATGATCAAACATGGGGAAAAAACACCAGTGAAGTGAAACATGTCTAATAAAGTGACTTTTTCCACCATGTTTCATAAATGGAATTTTTGTGCTGAAATGGTATATTTTCTTCTTTAGAAAAAGTCACTTCTCATTTCAAACCAAATCCTGTAGCTCTTGGTGACATTTATCACGTGCAGTGATCTAAGAGTTACTTAAAAAACGGATGGTCTTTCTGAGTACAGTAAAGAGGAAATGTGATATACATCCCCTTTGAAAAGCATTAGAACGCTCTAGTAAAGGTCTGTAAAAATGATTTTTAATATTTTACTTTGAGAAGGACCAACCTCATGATACCAGAAACGGTGCTATCATGAGGTCTTTACTCCTTTGCCTCAGTTTAGGCTTTTTGAAAGATCTGTATTCATTTACCGACAAATATACAATTTTTTTATTTATTTATTTTTCTTTAAACAGGAAAATGCATGGTTTATTTGGCTAACGTTGCTATTCAGCAAAACTCTGCCCAATGGTGTAATATAACTTGACTTTTTCCATTATTCACATTAAGAAGTCTTGATTAAAAACGAAACTTTCAGAGGACATATTCAAAATGGAAAAAAAAATGTAAATCTCTGCAGTCATCTTTTCTTAAAATAAGTGCATTTTTTCTAGAATTGAGCCAACGGACTGAGATAATTTACATTTAAAATAAAAATAAAAACTGCCAATGGAATCATGGTTCCTGCTGAAATGAAAGGTAAATACATTTATTTATAGATATTTGTACTCATTTCTAAATTGTTTTTGCAGTGTAAAATGATCTGGTCTGAAATTAGCTAAATCCAATCCAATTTCCCATGTTAAAGCTCCTAAAAATGGGCCTCTATGTCAGGTAACATTTAAACTCCAGGGAAGCAGGACGAAAAGACCTACTAATCAAAAATATCTAAATACTTCACTCCAAAAAATTATCAACATTCATTACTTAATGTTCACTGTTTAGACTTTTAAGCACCATGCCTTTGTACCAGTGTGCCAAGTTCCTGTGCTCGTAACACAGCAGCTCTTGCCTTTCTTCCTGTCTTGCAGTTCAAGCAACATGCAATCAGCTCAGGGTGGAATTTTTACATTCATTACCAACACACAAGGAGTGTCTTTTTGAATGCATACATTTAAAAAATGCCTTATAGACCAAATACTGAACTGGAATAAATAAACAAGCATTTCAAATAAAAGCTCTTTATGAACTCATTGCGTGTTGGAATTGACCTGCCGAAAATTAGAGACTAACATTTTCAATTGAAGAGTAGGATTTTTTTTTTTTTTTTTCAAGAGAAGTAGCATCCAGGGGGAGGGAGGGGGTAGAATTGCACAACTACATTCAGTTTAAGCAAAGAAAGTTGAATTTCTCAAAAGTGGTTATGTAATCAATTCATATTCATTCATACAACATGCACGGGCAGATCATTCACTAAATCCAACTCAATTCTTACTTGGATGAGGATTTTACACATTTTGTGAATTTTTTGCCTGTTTGAGGAATGATAAATAAGTTACAGAAGTATTGATATTTTATATAGATTTATTGAAGTCTTATTATTACTGTTATATTTGAAAAAAAGTCTTAACTTACTCAGGGCTATTAAAATGCCAGAGACAAACATAACAACAGCAAGGATGACCCCTGTAGTCCGCAGTGTCTCATAATCTACAGGTGACAAAATGACAGGTTACTTATTAAGCCAAAACAACAACGATGATAATACTGAAAACAAAACTACACAACTAGAAAAGTCTAAATGTTTGACTTTTCCATGTTTTTTTAAGTGTGATCACAAGACAATATAATAGACAAATTCAAAGATGTGCATCATTTTAAAATAGAAGGATACAGGAAGACAGTTTTACTGCTAATAGACACTTATGTACTCCAAAATAAAATAAACTTTCTGAAATTCCTACAATCGTCTTTGCAAAATAATAGTAATAGTAACCAAGTAAGCTTTCTAGCTAAATTTTAGTTTACAATTAGGTCTGCACTTGGATTGGACTATTCTAATACATGCCAATGCTTTGATCTAAAACATTTCATTGTAGCTCTGGATCTACTGGAAGGTGAACCTCTTCCCAATGCTCAGGTCTTTGTTAGCCTCTAATTGTTTTTTCTTTCAGGAGTTCTTTCAAAAAGTGCGCAATATTGTTGCATATTCTAACCCAGCTTTAGAGTTCTCTATCCTCTCTATCTTTATCCTTTACTAATCAGTTGTCTGTAAACCATCGTGACACGTTTCAATGGATTCTATTTGAGGGGTTTTTAAGCAAAGGGGGGGTTGAATATATTAGCTTACCAGAATTGCACTTTTCCTTGTTTTAATAATTATATTTGATAAACTGCAAAAAATCTAAGTAAATATTTTTTTAGAACAGAGTAGAATAGAAAATCCCTTTACTGTCCCACAATGGGGAAATTATGGTGTTACAACAGCAAAAGATTATAGAAATTTAATTTTTTGCAGTGTAATTTTATTAATTAATAAAATCTACTCTGGAGAAGAAGAGCATCTCCACAGCATAATGCTGCCACCACCATGTTTTGACCTGGGGATGCTGTTTTTTTTTTTAATGACACACAGCCTTTGCTTTTGACCCCAACTACTGTAGACTTAGATATGCAGAAAAACGGCCTAGTATATTAGGTTTTGTTCTGTTCTGACTGCACCATCCTCTTTTGTCTTCCCGTGCTTTATTGATGGCCAACTAGCCTGCATTATGTCCACAGTTTCCCATAAGATTGTATGAATTCTTGGATATTGCTTTATAAGCTAAAAACAATTTAATCTCTCAAAAAACTATATTCCCTAAATCTTTCGTGTTCCTTTGTCCTCGTGGGTCTTTTTGTTCACTAATGTTCTCTAACACACCTGAGGCCTTCCTACCTCATACTCAGTACAGTGGATCTTGTAATCTTATGTTGTGCTGTTCTACAATGTCAGTTTCTTATAAAACATATCAAGTTGCTGGTTGGCATCTTTTTTAAAATGCACTGCAATTAGTTTAAATCTTACCATAGTGAAAGTCGCTTTGGTCTGGAAACACTGATTCTGTAAAATAAAAAAAAAACAATCATTTACAAGGCAGGAGAAGCTACTTTCAGCAGAGTGAAGAAATGCAGTGGGGTCTTATGGAGATTTTTTTCTTGCACTGCACAGTGCTCAATGCGGCATCTTCGCTCAGCAGAAAGAAAAGGGGTTACAAGCCAGCAGCAGCAGAGAAAGAAAAGGTGGGAGGGGAGGATGAACAGAAATAAGACATTCAAGTCATTTTCTCTGCAAACTAAAATTCCAACTTGTTTATTTAGGTTTGCTGCAATGATTCCTAAACTAAAATGCATCGGATACTGAACACTCTGTCCATTTAGTAAATGTCAATAAAGCAGCACTGCTGAACTCTCAGTCCCAAGGGGTTGAATTGGCATTTTATATTCAACACCACAGTTTTCCCACAGCCACAAAACTGTCCTGTTTTACAGAAGTGCTAAAAACTGGCCTTTCCAGTCTGGTATTTTCCTCAGAAATGTCCCTTAATTTAACGCTGATTAATGTGTCAGCACTTAAACAAGCCTCCATTAATTAAACATACAGACTGGAATCAAATGATCCAAACTTAGTTTCCCCCTTTTAAATCCAAAATAACTTTGTGCCAGATGTTAAGTGAGACATATATAAAAAAAACTAACAAAAATAAATAACATAAAAAAAACCCAAACAAACCTGCGGTCGCCATGGTTGTGTTGCAAAGATGTGAGGGAGTGTTGTGTCCTGCTGGAAATTTAGCACGTCTCTGGGTTGCACTTACAGCCTGGATGTAGATGGAGAAAGTGGGCAGTGCAGCAAGCAGAGCAGATGGAGAGACTGCATTGTACAAGCTCAGCAAGGATCCCCTGGTGTTGACAATAAGACACTGCAGTCATTATTCGCAGCTACTGGTGCAATCTAGAGGCAATTCCCACTACACAGGTATGAGATAAGAGGATATAATAGGCCATCCCAAAGACGACAAATGGACACAACATTTAATAACTACTGGAGATAAAACATTATTTTGCCAAATGATATCAAATTTGGAAAAGTTTTAATATGAACTACATATTTTGTTTAAAGTTATCTAAACAATACTTTGGTTGATATGTGAATACATTCAGTAAATGCAGCTTTTAACACCATTTTTGTTGCAGTGCAAAGAGACTAAAACACCCTTATGCATTATTTTCTTTTGCAGCAGCAGCCTCCAGCTTTACTGGTGTAAAACTGCTGTTTTACAGCATGGAAACCAAAGAGGGGTGCAATATCGCTCCTTAAAGGGAGGCTTCCTGAAGGCGACATAATGCAGTGTGCCCTCTTTCACTGCTGGTAGTTTCTACTGCATGTGTAAATGAACTGTGTGCAGTGTCAGCAGAAAAAATGAGTGCAGCAAAACAGATGGCAACATGTGCAGTACTACTACCAACAATAATTAGGATAAAATCATCAATTTTTTTTTTAGATGTTTGCTTTATTATTTAGCATTTGTTTGACAATCAGAGAAATACACATGAGAATCACACCATCACTACTGTAAAAACATGAAACATCATCAAGTGACAAATACTGATGATAAAAACATAAAAATGGAGAGAAAAAAAAGAAACAAATAACAGCTGGATTATGGCATTTAAAAAAAGCTCAATGCTGTCCTCCTGGAAGGGTTTTTCTCTGCTGTCTTCATTGTGTTTGCTGCCACCTAGTGGTGGGTTCCGGCAAGCTGCAGAAACAAGCAGAACAACTCTGCTTGATTTCTCGTTTAAATCAGTGGATACACTGAGGATTAACACTTACCAGTTTTTAATAGAGCCGCTGTTAAGCTGGAGAAAAAAAAATACAAAAACATGTTTAGATGCTAATTCTAGTTGAATATTTAAATGTCATATGAAGTTAGTTATACATATACCTCTTTGGACAGCTGATTCAACTTCAGGACCCCTGGACCTAAGGGCATCACAGAAAAGAGATTAATTTCCACTGTCATGCTGATGATACGCAGCTATTTCTGTCTATATATCCAGATTAAGCTAACCCATTACATTACAGGCATGTCTTGAAGACATAAAAACCTGGATGACTCTTAACTTTCTCCTTCTGAATGCAGACAAAACAGAAGTTATAGTCTGATTAGTCACTCGCTTCATTTGGATGGGATTAAATTACCCTCAGATAATAAAGTAAAAAATATTGGTGTTATTTATGATCTAAACCTGTCATTTAAATCCCATATAAAAGAGGTTTCTAGAATTTCCTTCTTTCATTTGAGGAATATTGCAAAAAATAGAAATATCCTGTCCAGGGGTGATGCTGAGAAACTAGTCCATGCATTTGTTACTTTAAGGCTGGACTATTGTAATTCTTTACTATCATGAAGTCCACAAACTGTAGTTAAAAACCTTCAGCTGATCCAAAATGCTGCAGCCAGAGTTCTGATGAAAATTAAAAAGAGGGATCATATCTCTACTATTCCGGCTTCTCTTCATTGGCTTTCTGTTAAATCCAGAAGAAATTTTAAAATCCTCCTTCTCACATATAAAGCCTTAAATGGCCAAGCTCCATCTTATATCAGAGATATGGTTGTTCCTTATGTCCCTAACAGAGCACTTTTCTCTCAATCTGCAGGTTTACTAGTGGTTCCTAGAATTTCTAAAAATAGAATGGGAGGCAGATCTTTTAGTTATCAGGCTCCTCTCCTGTGGAACCAACTACCAGTTTTAGTCTGTGAGGCAGACACCCTGTCTACTTTTAAGACTAGGCTTAAAAATTTCACTTTTGATAAAGCTTATAGTTAGAGGGGCTCAGGTTATCCTGAGCCATCTCTGTAGTTATGCTGCCATAGGCTTAGACCGCTGGAGGACATAGGGACCCCTTTTTCATCATTCTATCTCTATTCTCCCACTCTGCAGAATATGTTAGTTCAATCTCTAACGTTTTGCTCTCTCTGCTTTTTCTCATAGTAGCTTCATCTGGTCTGTTCCTGTTTGACTGTGAATCCATCCTGGAGAGAAATATCAGCTGTGCTGCTGCCATCAACACCTTTGTTTATAGATGTTTGAGCTTGGCCTATGTTTTAGTGTAGTCCTGTTTCCCTGACTGTGAGTGGTAGATGTGCTCTCTTCATCCTCTGACGTGGGAGCTGCTCGGAGCTCGTCTGCCTGACTGTGTGTTTCCCGGGCAGGGCTGCCTGTGAAACTGGTTGACAAGTTCCTTTGTATCTCTACTTCTTTCTGTATGTCTGCTTCTGTCTCCTTGAACCCCAGTCGGCCACAGCAGATGGTAACTCACACTGAGCCTGGTTCTGCTGGAGATTTCTTCATGTTAAAAGGGAGTTTTTCCTCTCCACTGTCGCTATAAGCACATTTGGTGTGAGGGATTGCAATCAACTGGTTTTACTTAGATAGAAAACTTTTAATCAATTTGACTGTATGATCTGGGTGAATTGTCTCTGTAAAGTGTCCTGAGATGACGTGTTGTGAATTGGCGCTATATAAATTGCATTTCTGCATTCACAACATAATAATAAAAGAAATCTCAAGGTTTTTTTTTAACAGTCTCTTTAATAGAAATTCAAGTATTTGTGGGAAAAAAAACTACCTGTTTGCTCTGACTTTTCAGGCTGAGCTGATTATTTTATTCTTATTTTTCCTTATTTTAACTCTGCTTATCATTTTTATTATTCTTAGTTCATGTTGCTTATGTGTCATTTAATATATCTACAGTAAATTGTATATTGTTTAAAGCACAATTTACCTTGACTTGTCGCTCTTTGAACAGGAACACTTTCGACCTGTTGATGAAAAAGTATGGGTGGAACATTATATTTAAAATGTATTAAATATATATATAATATACCAAACATCTGACTTTGAAATGAATAAAAAAGCTAACATTGCATATTTAGGAACACTTCTGATTGAGTGCTGGTTTGAACATTTCCAGGGCAAACTTAGCCTCAGTGACCAAGGCAGGAAACACATTTCTGAGGGTTTTCAAATCTCTAGACAAATTTATCCCAAAAACTTTTTTGATGCAACATTTTAACCACATAAATCCAACTATTCATTGGGATGTCTGCATATATCGATGCCTGCATGAAACATTTTAACCATACTTGGTTAAGAAAGAAATCAGTAAATTCAAACAAAAACCTTTTAACTTTTAAGCAACGCAAAAAAGAATAAAAAAACAAATTCATAAAAACAATCACCTGGACCAGCAGATTAAAGTCTCCTAAGAAAACCCTGCCACCTTCTAAGGATGTAGTTAATATCAAAAGTTTAATCTAAAATAAAAATACGATTAAACAACAGGAATCTATGATCGGTATGTTTTTTTGTTTTCAAAAACTGGTTTTCAGGTCTTATGAGTTAAGCATGAGTAAAGAAAATGCTGAGTAATAAAAGGATCATAAGATGGGATCAGCTTCTAGGCATCACTAATAATTTTAGTATTATGATATTACTAGTCAAAAAGGCATAAACCAGTAATTTATTACCTGTTTTATTTATCTATTACCTTAAATTTATCCTTTTCCCTAGCATATTTTAATCTTACGGCGATGTACAGGTTGGAATAGCATTTGAACACTAAATTATCAGTTAGTCTTAATTAGCTGATGCATCTTTAGCAGCTCTGAATAAATTATCCTTTTGCTGTCAGAAAGCTTTTACAACCTGCTCTTCTCCTAGAGCCATTTTAAACTAACTCTAGTCTTTGTAAACAGAGGAAGTGCTGCAGAGGGGTTGAGTCCCACTAAATTATTTATCACTTAGTTATGGCTTCATGTCTTTAACTGGCAGAAGCAGGATGAGCTGGCAGGTAGGAGCAGGAATCCTTCTAGGGTGCCATGAGTGAAAGAAAAGAGCAAGCTATGTGGGCCAAAATGGTGCAGACAATTTGGAAGCAGCATGTGAGAAAAAGGCATCTATAAGCTCTGAAGCATCATTTCAATGTAAATGTTTGCATGTGTAAACTTCAACACTTACTGACGATGAGGAAAATGCCCAGCAGGAACAGAGCAACAGCAAAAACCAGTCCGCCGATTCTCAGAGATTCATAATCTGAACCCAAAAAAAACAACAAATAAGTCAGGGACAGTTTAGCCAAAACAAATAAGTGTTTTTGGGGCATTTAATGAGATGTCTCAAAATTTAAAAACAAAACTGCACAAGCAATTTGCAGTTCTAAAATGATTCTGTTGAGATCCCACAAATGTAAAAGTTGGGGTCAAGCTGTGTCTAAAAATAGCTGCAAACCCTCCATGATGACTTCAGCATCAGGAATTTATATAATTATAATATAATATAATTTATAGGTTTGGAAAATATAAGTGTAACTGTTAATAAACTTCCCATTATGGGAACCACTGTTCTAAAGCCACTGTATACACAGTACCTAAAGTCAGTGATTACAAGAAAAAGAGCCCTGACACCAGCTGAACCCAGAAAACATTCAGAGGGCAACAGAAAAAGAAAAAACTAATCCATTCAGTGATTTTCAACTTGTTGGTTTATTTACCATAAAAACAAGTATCAACCATCTTTTGTATGCAAAAAAAAAACACTTTTAAAAGGAGAATGGAATGAGAACAAAACATCATCCATCAGTTGCATCTAATAATTGTGTTGTATTTATGCAAAAATTCTAATGATTGACAAATAATGAGATTAATCCAAAAAGCTGATAAACTACAACATCAACTCTTGCATATTCCTTTTGATAAAAAGCATTGCGGCATATAAAATCTATAATGCAGTACCTCTACTGACCCACTAGAGGTCGCAATCTCACCTCATTCAGTTATGTGATTTACGGTAGTTGTTTAGTATTACAGGAAAACTCTAACATGCAAATAGATACAATTTAACTCCACTAGAAATGTGTAATGAGAACAATGGCTGAAAATGTAAAAATGAAAATAGCTAGTGTTTTTGTGTTCATACTTTTTACAAAGGATTGTTGTTTGATAAGCAGACTGAAAAGTAACAAAAATACATTTTATTTTGTAGTGGTCCACAGACCAAAAAAGTATGTGTAAGTACCAGAAAAATGTTCAAATTTACTGAAGAAGGCCTCACTTGATCAAAGGAAAACTTAGCATATATTTGGAAAATAGTCATCAGTTGGTCTTATTTATAACACCAAACAAGTCCGTTTTAAGGTTTATTATGAATAAGCACCATCATAACAAAATGTTCTAATAGAAATACAGCAACTAATACAAATAATTACTGAATCACGTACAGGTGACTGAGGAAATGTTCAAATAAACTGTTTGACGACTGTATTGAAATTCCTACAAGCTTTAGGAAAGTTTAATAAAATTAAATCAGTTATTGAGAAATGCTTGCAATCTTAAATTTGAGCAAAAATCGTTATTCTTTGCTTTTTCACCTTCAATAAACCAAATAGTTCCCTAGTTTATATTACACTTTTCCTATATTTTCTCCTTGGACTCCGAAGCTAGACACAGACATTTTCCTAAGGCCAGAACACACCGGATCCAATTTTGTATCCGATCTGATGGAAAGTCGTTTCGGAGTAGGTCATTGTATTTATCGGCCATTGAAATTTAACGGAGACGTTTACATTCGACAAGATTTTACACAAGGGGGCTTGCGTAGGTCCGATTGAGAAAGAGTTGGACTTAGTTGGACTATGCAGCAATTTAGCAGCATATTCACGTGTCTGATAGGAAGAAAGACGCGGTTAGAAAGTAAAACACATCTGCTTTGGGGAAAATACTAAATAAAATCTGTTATTCGCACGGAAAAACTGTCCCTTTTTGGAGTCACACATCGCGTATATAGACAGCAGGACAGA